GGGAAAAACCTAGTTTGTAATAACATCAAAATCAGTCAAAGTCGCAGTTTTCGAGATATTAACATATTTTAGTATGGGCGGCTATACGTGCCTCCCGGCGCCAATTTTTTTACTTTATTTGATAGAAAATAGCATTCTGAATAGAATGACATATCATATGTCAACTTTTGACATTTTCGTATATGGTTTATTTGAAATTATAACTTGCGGTTCGTAACGAAAATTTGACTCGAAATACCAAGTGTGTGGTATCAAATTGTTCATAAAAGAATGCTTTTTCCAAATACGCTAATGAGCCACCCTCATTCCATTTGAAAAAATTGAGATATGATTAAAAATACGAATTGAGCATTTTCTAACCGGCCAGGACAAGACACACAAAAACATTAGACGATCAAATCTATTTTTCCAAGACTCCTTGATTAAGAATTAAGTGTTTTTAACATATAGCCATAGCACTCTAGATTGAATTTTAAAATACGATTTTTTATTAAGCGAGAATGTCAAAAGTTGGCATATGATATTTCATTCTATTCAGAATGTCATTTTCTATCGAATAAAGTAAAAAAAAATACCGAGGGTACCATTTAAAAATCAAAAGTTGTAGTCATTTCCGGTGAAACAGGAAGTGACCGAAAACAACTGAATACATGAATCAATCCCAATTTAAGTCACATACTAACATAACAAATCTTGTTTTTTTACCTAAAAAAGTAAAAAAGTTATAGGGGTGAGCCACTTTTGTGACGCACCCTGTATATTGACGTACTAAACGTTTAAAGAACATGTAGGTACCACAAAGAAAACATGTTTACTCTCAGCTTAATGTACCGATATCCAAATAGTAAATCTAGTATCAGTACGACCGATTTATCAAATATTTACCCTTAACAATGTTTTTCTTCTCGTATTTTCACAAACATTATTTAAGTTAACGAGTTTGCACATGCAATAGCAATAAATATTAATACCATAATCGTGATATGTTACATAAGCACTTTTGGATCGCAAAAATACTGGGTTAAAAATAGATTTTATTATTGACTCGATTACCTAACAAGAAATAATTATGTGCCTTGAATTACGCCTTTTTCAATTTGCTAAGTAAATAATAATTGTTTGTTATTAGGTATTAGTAATTGGTGGCCAATTGATAAAGTGAAAACGATTAGGTATCAATTTGGTTATTTTCCTCATAATATATACTCAAATTTGTTGGTTTTTCATTATTTGCTCGATATAAATGTGTTTACAAAGAAATATATCAAGATGGAAAAATATAGATTACAGAAAATTGTTTTCATCATTAGATACCTATTTGTGGTTAAAGTTAATTACTAGAAATTAATTGAATGCTATAAGGAATTATTTAATTTTCTTCGAAGTATTTCAAATTAAAAAAATGAGACAGTAGAAAAAAATATAGGTATGCTCTTTTTTAAGCGCAAATAACTTTTGAAAAGTGTGTATTATTACGGTGATATCGAATACGGTTAATACGGTTCTCGAAAAAAGCCCAATAAATTAACACTAATAAAAGCGGTACAGCAACTTTACTGCAATTGTTCCGCAAGAATTAAAATAGGCCCAACTCTATCTGAATTATTCCCAATATCAAAAGGTCTAAAACAGGGTTGTTGTCTGTCCCCAACTTTATTTAAAATCTACCTATCAGAAGCTCTTAAGCACTGGCGCAAGAAGCGCTCTCAGATGGGAATACCTATTAATGACAACCTTTCTCTGTATACTCTGCATTTCGCCGATGACCAGATAGTAATGACCCAAGACAAAGAAGACCTGGAATACATGACCAGAAAACTGATAGAAGAATACGAGAAATAGGGACTGGAGCTAAACAAGGAGAAGACAAGATACATGTGTGTTGGTGGCGAGTAGGAAGACCTAGTATTAAATAACAATATAAAAATTGACGCGATTGATTGCGAAGAATATATGTATTTAGGGGTAAAAATCACAAGCAAAGGGAGATGCGAAAAGAGGAAATCGAAGAACAGATTGGTAAAGGCAGAAAGGTGATAGGAGCGCTAAACTCGGTGCTTTGGTCTAAGGATATCTCGGATCACAGAAAAAAAAAACTGATTTATAATGCGATTCTGAAAAGCATAATGTTCTATGGCTCTGAGGTATGGCAGTTAAGCGAAAAACATAAAAAGAAGTTGTTGTCGATCGAAATGGACTTCTGGCGAAGATCAGCCCAAATCTCCCGTTTATACAGAATTAGAAACGAGAGAATACGTGAAAAAATGAAGGTGGAGGGTAACATTGTACAAGATATACAAGAAAAACAACTACAGTGGTACGGCCGTGTACAACGAATGGCTGACGATATAATACCAAAGCCAAAGCAGTGGACACCTACAGACAGACTTAAACGAGGCCAACCTAAACTCTCCTGGAATCAAGGAGTCGACAGTGCCATGTCGGATGGGAACCTACTACCAGAAGACTGGGACAACAGATGGAGGTAGCACATGGAGACTACAGGGCGACGAAGGACGCTGTAAAACCGGACATACATACATGGGTAACTAATATCTTCATTTTTCCTGGAATGAGAAGATGTAGTCATGTTTGTCTTTGATAACTGGAATTACTTTAAAAATACCACGCATCAGTACACTACAAGAAATATAAACAATTGTCTTCTTCTGTTCCAGACAGACATAATTTCAGTTACTTACAAAAAAGCAGTTCATAATAACATAATTTTAGTTACTTACAAAAAACACAGAGATTGACTCAAAAATCTGGACATCTCACTGCAAGGCACTATTGATTGAAAGTAGGCAAGATGACATAGTAGAAGGCACAGCCAATATCAAGAACATCAAGATACAAAACTAACTATACCAGTGGAAGAAGCAAAAAAAGAACTTAATAAGATGAAAATTAAAAGATCTTCAGGTCCAGGTAATATCCCAGCTGAGCTACTAGAAGGTAGCCCTAATGAATAAATGCCTAGCAATCAAAAGAATACCCCAATAATGGAAAATGTCTCATTTAGTATATAGTATGTCTCATATAGCATTTAAAAAAGGAAATCGGAGAGACCCTGGATGCTACAGACGACTAAGTGTCAATTATGGGTCACTGCCAGCTGAGATCGTACCTACAGAGGATGGGACTGGTGGAAGACGCTGAATGCCAACTCTGTATGAAAGGTGACGAAACAATGAAGCATGTTATGTGTACCTGCCCTGCTGGGGGCAAGACCAGGTTTGAGGTATTTGGCAAAACCACACTAGACCTATCAGACCTAGGAGACATATCACCCTCGGACATAATAGCCTATGTTAAAATGTTGGGTCTTGAGGGTCAACTTTAATGCTCTTTTTCTATTAAAGAGCTTGTAGAACCTGAGCCGCAATAGGCCCTCGCGACTTTAGTGAATACGAATAAGTACGAAGTGTCAATTGTACGTTGGGCAGGTTGTAGAACCTATAATAAGCACAAAGAGTCTTAGACAGGGTTGCGACCTCTCTCCTTTAAGACTTTTTCAACGTCTATGTAGAAGTCCCGCTGGAAGAATGGAAAAGACAATATGAACCTATAGGCATACTGGGCTGACGACCAAATAGTGATGACGCAGAGTGCGTTTAACCGATACATGATGAGAAGACTCTATGTATAATATGAAAAGTGGGGTCTACAAGTAAGTTTTGAAAAACAGAATAGCTAGTAGTCAATAGTGAAGCCGCGTTTGAAGTTCTGATTACCGATGATACTCAGGTCATACAGGTCGACAACTTTAAATATTTAGGATCAATCGTAACTAAACAGGGCATTGGAGAGGATGAAATTAAACTCGGCAGTTAAGCTGGCGAGAGAATAGTTTGATGTTTGAATTCATTATTGTGGGGTTGGCATCTCTCTCTTAGAACCAAAAAACGGCCATGGTTGAATCTATGGTGGTGTGCTATGGTTGCGAAGTATGGGCTCTAACAGCCGAAATGAAACGGAGATACAGCATTCGAAATCTACTATCTCAGAAGAAGCGCAGGCGCATCGAAAATGGACCGAATTACCAACATAGAGATCAGACACCCAATGAATGATCCAGAGACAATTATAGACAGAGTAGAAGTCAGAGATCTGAAGTGGTTTGGCCATCTATTAAGAATGACGGAAGATCGATGGCCTTTCACGTCTATTTCAGGGGAGTCCTCCACTAAGAAGAAGGCGAGGTAGACCAAGAAGGTCGCGGAACAACACAACCAGGCAAGCGGTGGCATCTAGAGAGCTGGATGAACTGGATACATTTAATAGAGAGGTTTGGCAAAGGCAAACGGGAAAGCCGCAGTAGCTGTATTCTTGATTAATAGATTGGGCTGAATGTCTAATCAAATCCCATATATACATATACAAAAAGAAATATTGATTATATTATATGTTAATTAAGATATTCAATTTCTTTCCTGAAAGAGTTCTACAACTGCCTAAAAATTGGGTAAAAAAATGTTCTTCCTAATTTCCGTTTTTGGGATCGTTTGCCGATTACTTATCGTACTGATGATGCTGGAGGACAGTTATACACTAGTGTACTGTGAGTTCTACTAATAAAAAATAAGTTTATGTCTAATGTACCCTTTTAGTCGCGTATTTACTCTAGCATTTAATAAATATAAACGCATAAAGCAGGGCCTTTAAACATACATGTCTAAATAATTTTTAGATTTTTTGTGACTTAAAAATGAGACACTTTTTTGGCACTCTCAAAATGATATACGTACTTTTTGGGGATACTTTAGGTATAGTTTTACTCTTGCAATAGTTTCCTTATCACGAAATGCTTTTATAGAACAAATACCTTTATATTTATATTAGTGTAATAGTGTAACTAAAGAAAAAACTAAAAGTTCTGGAAAATATCTCATTTTTACCTACACTTTGCCTAGAATTAACTTTTAAGGCCATTTAAATCTTTGTTTTAAGGTTTGCTTCCTTATTAGTAGTTCTAAAGAAAACTTAATTTGTTTCAGTTACTCAATGGAAGCTCACGCTGTGCATTATAATCTGAAATACGGAAGCTTTAAAGACGCAGTTGACAAGCCGGATGGATTGGCAGTTATTGGATTTTTCTTGGAAGCGACGGACAATGAAGACAATCCGTGTTTCAGTGAAATGGTCAAAGGAGTACAAAACGTAATTAAAATCAACACCACCACAAATATAGCGCCAGGTATTTACTGAATTATACATTTTTTCATAAAACATCTATTATACATTAATGTAGTAATTATTATTGTAGTTATAAAATTCTAGTTCCTCAAACAAAACTTAGTTACAAGTTAGATTCTTTGAATAAAAAGATTAAAGTACGAGTAAAACTCTTAGGTTGAGCGCGATGGGGACCTAATATGACTTAAGACTCAAATCAAACTTGACATATCATTCTATTCAGAGTGTCATTTCTATCGAAAAAAGCTTTGAATAAGAAGACTAAGGAAGGAGCATAATCTTTGAATAAGAAGACTAAGGAAGGAGCATAATGCTATCCATGTATTCATGCATGGTGGGCGTAAAAAGCTCTCTAGGGTGGGGATCCTTGACAGTTCTGTTTGACGATTCATTTGACACATTTGAATTTTATTTGAAATTTTGTGGATTTGTCAGTATTTACGGAGCTTATTTTATGTTATTTATTATTTATTCTACGACTGATAGTTGTATAAAGGTAGTAAATCTAGATGGAAGTTGTGGCAGAACTTAAATTAACAGTGACATTATCGCGATTTATCGAAAAAGACTCTAAAATAGTTGGTTGTGTAGCGTGCGGTAGATCTCGGCAAAAATTGAGTGAAATAATGGAACAACTTTTCGCTAGTAAGTAATTATATAATATATATATATATATACGTGTAGTAAACCGATCATTTATGAAATTCACTTAAATTAACAAAATTATATATTTTCTTGCATTTTAGCTTTTATTTACTACTGGTCAAAGATCAGATGTCAAAGAATTTTGATACGTTAATTTGACTTACCTACTTCAGTGGTGTATCGGATGTTTGTGTTAATAAATACTTATTATAACTTATCTATTTTTATTAGAATTATATATTTTTATAACAATTTTAATAACTACCAACATTTATTCACAACGTAAAATAAAATAACACATTATTGAGTCTACCCCACGTCTACCCTACATCATAGTTTTACATTTTTTAAATAAAATTAGAACGGCACTGATAAACCGGAATTTAAGTCGGCCATATTTGAGGCCCATCGCAGTGTACCTAAGATTTTTGATATGCTCCTTCCTTAGTCTTCTTATTCAAAGAGCATAATGCTATCCATGTATTCATGCATGGAGGGCGGAAAAAGAACTCTAGGGTGGGGATCCTTGACAGTTTTGTTTGCCGATTCATTTGACACATTTGAATTTGATTTCAAATTTTGTGGATTTGTCAGTCTTTACGGAGCTTATTTTATGTTATTTCTTATTTATTCTACTGCTGATAGTTGTATAAAGGTAGTAAATCTAGATGGAAATTGTGGCAGAACTTAAATAAACAGTGACACTGTCGCGATTTATCGAAAAAGACTCTAAAATAGTTGGTTGTGTAGCGTGCGGTAGATCTCGGCAAAAGTCGAGTGAAATAATGGAACAACTTTTCGATAGTAAGTGACCGAGTAAGTGACTATATAATATACATACGAGTAGTAAACCGATCATTTATGAAATTCACCTAAATTAACTAATTGTATATTTTTTCTTGCATTTTTGCTTTTATTTACTACTTGTCAAAGATTAGATGTCAAAGAATTTAGATACGTCAATTTGACGTACCTGCTTCAGTAGCGTATCGGATGTTTATGGTTATAAATAATTATTATAACTTATCTATTTTTATTAGAATTTTATATTTTTATAACAATTTTAATAACTACCAACATTTATTCACAACGTAAAATAAAAAAAATATTTAGTCTACCCCACGTCTACCCTACATCATAGTTTTTTTAAATAAAATAAAATTAGAACGGCACTGATAACCCGGAATTTAAGTCCGCCATATTTGAGGCCCATCGCGGTGGACCTAAGATTTTTGATATGCTCCTTCCTTAGTCTTCTTATTTAAAGGAATAAAGTAAAAAAATACCGATAGTGTCATTTCAAAATCAAAAGTTATAGTCATTTACGGTGAAACAGGAAGTGACAGAAAACAATTAAATATGTCAATCAATCCTAATTTATGTCATATACTAACATTCCAAGTCTCATTTTTAAATCTGAAAGAATAAAAAAGTTATAGGGGGTGAGACACTTTTGAGCCGCACCCGGTATACCAAACCAAACCAAACAGTTTAGTCTGTTTTAGTATCATATTAGTTTTATAATGAATCAAAATTGTAAAACCTAAATAATTTGGGATTTTAAGGCAAAAAATATATAATTCAAATTTTGAAATTTGGAATATTCAAAATCCACTTGGTATAAAAAATTTTATAATATAAAATTTTTATATACAGGGTGTCCCAGAAATAAGTGCATGTATTTTAAGGGGTGGTAGATCTCGATAAAAGAAACATATTTTCTCTTTATCGTTTTTCAAATAAGTCCAAAATAACGGAGTTATTTTAACTTTGAAAATTTCCAAAAAAAATGATTTTTTGCTAAAATTTTGAGAACCACTGGATCTTTTCGAGATTTTCTTTCTTGTAAGTTTAATCTATGGTTTAGTTTAGCTACATAATAAGCTATGGTCTAGTTTAGCCTATGTTGCCATATTATCAAGAAAATATGTTTTTTTAACTAAAAACTAAAAAAAATCCAAAAAATTTTTCAGAAAATTTCGAATTTTCAAATTTTTTTTCGCGAAAAAAACTCATAGGCGTGTCTCTGAGGTTGAACTATACTACCAGTTAAAATAATTGCACTTATTTCTGGGGCACAATTTTTAAGGCAAAAACTATAACATTAATTGTGAAGTAAGTTTTAGACACACTGTATATTTACAAAAAAAAGTTTTTTTTAATGTATTATCGTTGATTGAAAGGATTGGGAATTTACGCAACCTAATGGGCAAATTCGTGATAAGGCTGATTTGATTTCCCCTTAGTCTCAAGTGCTGGACGGTGAAGCCACTACTCGTTCTGCGGCCAATGCATAGAGCACTCATATTCTCTAATTCGGCTAGCGAAGGCATATCGAAGACGGTGTGGAACTGAAAGCGACAGTGTTGCCACATTAAAATGTGTAATATCTGTAATACGTTTGACGAAAAAATTCGCGTTTGTGTATTGAAAATTTATTTGTGTTAAACGTGGAATAATCAACAAAAATAAAAATTCTTTTTTTAGTTCTGAATATTTCGTATGATCGAAAAAAAAGTCGTTTAGTTGGCTTGGAAATATTATACAAATAATATAACATATAGAAATATTGTTAAGGTCAAGGTGTATTACTGGTTGCATAACCGCAACGGTGCATTGAGGAACTTGGCGAATTCGACAGAAAGTAAAAGAAAATTACAGAATTCTTTAGAAAATTCCAGAAACCATCGCCAGGGGGTATATAAGGCCCGCGCTTTGACACTTGGAGCAGTCTGAAGATAGTCTGAAGTCTGAAGTTTGATAATACCGCGAAATACCGTTAGAGTAATAGTAGTTGCATAAATTGTGTTGTAAATAGTATAAGTTGTGTGTACAGAGTGAGACAAATAAATTCGTTAAGTATTTTATCGTGCGTTTAAATAGTGGACCCACGGAATCCGTAACAATATTTTACATATGGAATAACAGCGATCTTCATTTCCAAGCCAACTCTGACGCCGTTATTTTTTTAACCATATAATATTATATTAAATTGTTTAATGATAGTAAATCCGTATTATTAACGTTCTGTGTCCAAAATCCGTAAATCTACGGATTAATCCGTAGTTCTGGCTACACTGGCAATCACCCACTCTGCCGACTGAAATCAGAACTACTGTACTGTATTCTTTATCTGTGCTGTAATTGACTACCAGCGCGCAGCGTCGCAGAGCTAAACTAAATCTCGGACAGGTTGACTAGCGGCGACGGTATCACCAGCTACATCTCGGACAGGTTTTGTGCCATGAAAGCGCCCATAAGGTTGCACATCTTCTTTCTTCAATCAACGGTATTATTCAGTTTTTTTAGTCACCCTGTATACGAAGTTGTTTCAAAATTATATAAAGAATAGTCTGCAACATTTTCTGGAAAAACTGACTTAATACACTGTATAATAATATTTTAATATAAACATCTAACATTCTCTTACCAACCAACAATAGAAAAATATCTTAGTTTAACTAAACTAGATATTATAAAATAACGCTAAACGCATTTCCTTTCTGCAACAGTCCCTATGTAATTTAATTGTCATATTATTTATCCTAGATTGCCTGAACTGGATTAAAGAGGAGGCTCAGTGCAAAGGCTACTACACTTACCAAGGCTCTTTGACTACCGAACCGTATCTGGAAAGCGTCACATGGATTTTATACCCCACCCCAATCCACGTATCACGACAACAGGTTAGTTAAAATAGATTTTTACGCATTTGAACGTTATTGTGTACCTAGCTATCAATATGAACTTTAACTAAACTTTATTATGCAGTCTTTAGTTACGAAATATAGAGAGTGGTCCGAACTGTATTCCAGAAACTTCGGCAACATATTCTGCAGATAAAAATAAGTAAAAAAATTTGTATAAATATATGTCCTAAAATTCTTAGTTTCGGAGATACAGGGTGTAGGAGTTAACTAGTAACTAGTAAAATACAATTACAAACAAAGCTAAAAAAGGTTAAAAAAATATTACAATTATTCGATCATAGATATGCTATGGTAAGCCGAATTGGGCATTAAAATGACTATATTACAATTACAAAGGACAGTAATTATCAGTTTAAGTTTAACAAGAAGAGTAATTAAAACTTTCTCTAAAAAAAAATTTGGTAGGAAAATTCCCTTCAAACACTTTTTAGGTGAGGGAGGGGGGCCAAATTATGTATAGTATTTAGTCTAAAAAGCAGGAAAGCTAAATGTAATAATATAATATTTCTATTATTTTTCAATGTATTATTCATGTGTTTTTTATTTATTAGTCGAATGTAGTTTGTAAGATTTTCAATTATGTTAATTAGAGTAAGTTAATAGTTTGACTTATGTTTTACTTTATATAAGTTTGTATTTTATTGTATTTTAATCAATCTATTTACGATTGTAACTGTATTTTATAACTTGCCTTTTTTGTATGACTCCTCAAAATATTTATCTATTTTGCCATTTTTAAACAAAATTATTTTTTGAAATAAACATTTGAAAAGATTGTGAAGTTTTGAGTCCCTTCAATGACTAAAGAATCCAAAGACAAATAACACCCGAGAGCAAATTGTGACGATGTCACCAAACAGTGCCGTGGCACATATTTTTCTTAACCTAGCTGTTTGAAGCAATATTTATATTTTTTGATAATTGTTTTGACTACGCCTATGGTGTATCCTCCTAATTAATTACGAAAAAAACGTATTAAAATGTTAACAAAAGGTACAAAACTAGTATCGACGTAGGACACATATCAAGTACATATAGATGTTAATTGAAATTGAGGAATAATTATCGAATTCAATAAGAAAACGCTAAAAAGTTGGAGTGGACTGTTTATTTTACCTATGAAACTTCTGACTCTTTCTTATCGCTGCTGCTTTTACACTTGAAAGCTGAACAACTAATCACCATTGTAATAAAGTTTATACAAAGTTTACTACACACAAACTATTAAAAATCGCTAAAATTGTCGTTGGTGACCAAATGATGACTCATTGTTTGCCACCAAAACAAAAAAAAAGGTCACAAATTCTGCTGCAGCACGTATAGGGGCGTCACATGTCCTTATATTCTTTAGTCATTGAGTCCCCTACCTTTTAGAGGTTAGGTTTAGACAGTAATTTTAATTATTTATTTTCGTTTTTTATATACGTGTTTCTAAATGTCCACATTTTTCTTTCAGGTTGCTTACTTCAGGGAACTAAAATCAACCGCATGCGAGAAAATCAACATCGTCAACAACGTCAGACCGATCCAGAGCCCTCCAGCCGACAAGAAAATCAACGTTATCTTCGCCAGATCGCACAAGCAAAGCGAGTAGAAACCTAACGCTCCATCTCTTAGACTAAACTCATGCCATTAAACCTGGGTCAGGGAATCATCATATACTTACATTTCCACAAATCCTTTCAAAATAAAAAATCATTCGATGTATGTAGCGCCGGTAACGCCACAAGTTAAGACATCGATGATGAAAAGATGAAACGTCGAAACGCCCTATTGCGTATTGCCATACCTCATCAAAATTACAAGTGCCTATGTAAAATATCACTGAATTTGGTGTACCTGCCATAGAATTTTCTATCTTGTATAAATCGATAGTTTTTATACGTACCTATGTACATTATATCCGTTTTAGTGTTCTTTTAATAAAAATTAATACCAAAATATTCTTCAAACATAGATTGGTGAATATACATGTGATGTTTTTTTACAAATTCATATCGTGTTTATTAGTCTAAAAATGTATTGTTTTCTGTTATATAAAATGTGATTTTGTAGAATGTTTTGGTGCTAGCAACTTTATATACAGATTTTTTTTATTTTGCCTGTATTAAATAACATATTTACATATTTACAACTAATAATCTTAATACAATACAAATTTTAATAATGTTATATAAACAATATAGTATTTTTAAATTCATTTAAACCTCAATGTATATTATATAAAGGTTGAATACACAAATAATGAAGTTTGTAATCAAATTTTCACTGTATGCAAAAAGTTTACAATAAAATATTAAAAATGTTACCCTTTATATATTAGTTTTATTTTAGAATTTATAGTCCCGATAACGACAAATAGTTTTTAAGTAAACAAATAGTCTTACGAAATGAAATTAACATAAGTCGATAAAAATACACCCCCAGATTGGCATACCAAAACGTGCTTCTAGAGTGTTAATAAATGTCGTATATTAATCTTAAACAGCCGCTACACCCCCCCTAAATGTTTTACGAAATATTTCTGGAAATAGTACGATAAATATAAGCCCGTGTTACAAAATTTAGTTTCCCGCGTTTCCTGCAATAGATCGAGACCCGCCGTGATTGGTTGTTTATTGTTAACCCAGATTAACAATAAAAAACATACAACCAATCACGGCGCGTCTCGATAAATTTCTTCAAAATAACAATGACAAATAACACAAGATAAATAAATCGCACTATCTAAATAAGGCCTCTTTCAGACGAAGCGGATGTAACCCGCGTCCAAGGATACTATAGCATGATACAAAGAATACAAGGTATGATATTGCGCAGGTTGGTCACTACGTCACAGGTGGTAAACGGCACCATTGGTCGGCAAGTTCCGCGCGCCAATTTCAAATTGTCAAACAGATGACACAATAAATGTCAAAATAAATTTTCAAGTGTCAAGCACGATGATTTGACATAACTTTTAGGGTTAGGTCCTAATTCTTCCCTATTTTAGGCCTTTTTTATTAGTGGCAATTGCACAATATGTATATTTTTTTGTACGCTGTACTTAAACTGCCGCTAAACGGTAGCCTACTGACATGCCGTTAATAGATATGACGTCATTATGGAGTGTAGAGTCTCCTCTACACTCCATACTTTTTCGTATGGCGTATGACGTCACAGGTGGTATGCGCAAACTTAACGAAATTGGAGCCGCTATCGATCATACCTTGTTTTCTTTGTACCATGATACTATAGAGATAAGGTCGATTCCTATCTTCCTGCACTGTCAGTTTTTTTACATCATCTAGGGACCTAGTTGAAGAGTTGGCGCTAAAGATTTTAGACAGTGACAGTTATTTTTGCGTTTGACGGACGAGCGCACAGTGCGGTGGAAGATAAATTTAGCGGGACAAAACCGTTTGGTTAGAAATAAGCCAAAAAATGTGTACTGATAAGAATAAATAGTAGACATTCCAATTGATATAAAAATGCATGAATATTCTTTATATTTCGATACATTTTTATCAACCAAATTTGGTCGTTTTCTGCTCAGCAAGGCAGAAATCATACGAAAACAAAATATTTACAAGTGCTTATACATTTCATTCCAAAGCCAAATTATGTTGAAGATTGCCAAAGGCAAAGTCCTTCGTGCCTTTGTTCTGCAGATATCAAATTTTCACTTTTTTTCAAAAATATCGATATATTGAATGATGTAGATCTTTTGAGTTACCAATAGTTACCAACACAGGTAGTCACAGTCACAGGAAGTTCAAGCTTACCAGGTGAATGCCCAAAAGTTTCATTTCAATTGGATAGTATAAAATATATAAAAACAAAACAAAGACTAATTAAAGGGTTAATTGAAGAGCATTCAAAAGAAGAATTGGGTTTTGCAAGTACTATGAGCTTTATGGCTAGTGGAAGTAAGGATGCTGCTGTAATTGTTGAAACCTTAACACCATTGAAAGGCACTGAATTTAAAAAATTAATAGTTGCCCATACACGGAAAGGCCCGGCCTTCGGACTTGATCTTGAGGCCGGGGCTTTCACCCAAATTACCATAGCGGAAATATATCCGCGGACTTTGCCTTTCAGGCAAACCTATGGTATTTTGGGTTAAAGACCCGGACCCAAGGCCAAGGCCAAAGGCAGGGCTTTTCCCTGTATGGGCAGCTAATGAATGACAGCAATAGTCAGTTCGGTAATTTTCCTCAAGACAAAAACATCCAAATGATATTCTAGTTAAATAAAGCATGACGATATGCTAAAGTCTTTTTTTACTTTCTGATAATTTATAATAAAACTAAATGATTATTACTAGTTTTAATAAAATTTTAAAAAATTGTCTTAGATACTGCATATGAATTTACAATTACCGAGCGTTAAAATTAAAATATCTATCTCATTATTTATTATTTTCAAAATAAAATATAATATCATAGTTTTATTATCTTGTATTTATTTATTTATTAATAAATAAATAAATTTAACCATATGGTTACTATATATTAGACCATTTGCTACGTTCTTAGATTTTAAGCAAAGTAGATCGCCGAGTAGCGACAGAAACTGTCGGCTCTTTTGATGTGGTGGGACCAAATTTTCTTTCTCTCTCTTTTGACATGTTTGACAGATAGACTACGTATTTAACTGCTCAACTTATGAAGTGGTCCTATAAACATGATATACACTGCTCATAATTTGAAGTGGAATTAAATATAAAGTTTTATACATATTTTTTTGTTATGTTTTATCCTTATTTCTAAATTTGAATGTATAAAATATCTTACAGCTAATAAATCATTAAAAAAACGATTCGTTGTCTGAGGTATACTTGAAATAAAGTATATAGAGATATTTGATAAATGGCAACAGTGGCAACTTCGCTTTTTCATATGACAGATAACCTACTTATTTCGCGCAGCCGCAAAGAAAATTGAAAACGGGACTGTCGCTACTCGTCGATTTACTTACTCTGTTTTAAGTCCCAAACATGGCTCCTGAGATTTTGTCCCGCTAGAATAACCATCCGCCGCACTGTGGAGCGCTGGTCCCTGCGTGACGTAAGCATCCACGGCCACTACGACAGCGGCGATTTGACGCGATCGAACAGTCCTTTAGAATATATACAGTCCTTGACCCGCGTCCGCATCTTTGCGCGTCCTTGCCCGCGCTCGCTTGAGCTTGCAGACAGCACGCGGTACAACACTCGCTTGCTTATTTAAAGAACACCTGCACAAATGTAGTTATTAAAATGTTACGATGTACACTACATACAAAGGCGTGCGCAAGTGGCGGACGCGGATTAGGGCGACCCGCGTGCGTTTTGTCCGCGTACGGGTAATGCCCGCGTCACAAAATATACACCATCATACAGAAGCGACAAAGAGATTTGCTTCAAAATTTTTAGGAGGGGGTAATGCTGGTTAACTGTCAAACGTGACGTCAAAGAATTATACACCAAAAAAAAATTCACGACCGCAGGTATAATTATTTCTAGATATTATGCATAAAAGACTAAAAAATATATTTCATAATTATTTATTTATTTTTAATTCTAAATAAAAATACTAATTTAAATCCCTCTAGTTTTTAAAAATTAAATAAACCTGCCTGTCATCATTTTCTATTAAAATCTAACAATTTTCTTTCAGTGTAAAATGCTGTTCAAGGCGCACGGATGTCAAACGTGACGTCACGTAATTAGTTCCCATTTGACCAATGCTATTCAAAGCTCTTTGTCGCTTCTGTATGGTGTATATTCTGTGCCCGCGTCTTGACTCGTATGAAAATGTTCACTGAAAATAGTGGTCTTTAGTTTACATGTACCCGCGCATAGATGCGGCCGCGGGTTACATCCGCTTCGTCTGAAAGAGGCCGCTGGCGGTTTTATTAGTGTATCCAAAAAAATACCGTCATCTGGCGAAAATCGATTAATTCTAGTTTTCTAACGACTTATGTTTTCGACTTTAGTTATAACCCAAATTTCGACTTTAAAAATGTTCAATTCATGATTTTACCAATGCTTATTCAAAATCATGTTTTTGTCAATTTTACACATATTTTATTTTTTATCTCGAAAACTAGGTGTAGGTTAGTATAATAGAAAAATTGTAAGGTATGAAAGTAGTTTCCAAATAAATAATAATATCGGGAATTTTACAATACAACCGAGAAAGTTCCAGAGACCATCTAGAGTGACTGCGAAGGCCTAACATGCATACGTACTGTTTAAAGATACAGTATGTCCACGGATTGTCTTTATGCCGCAACCGCACATGCGGCATTTAGCGAACTCCGAGCGCTCGTCAACTACCAAGCGCTCCATGATCGGACATCACCTTTCCATCCACACATGCGGGCTCTGATAGCAACAACATAGAGACGAGCGCTCGTTCTTGTCGCCGATCGAGTCGCCGAACTCCGACTTCCCCATCCACACACATAGGAAATCGGCGAAGCCCCGTTCGGAGACCGCCAAATACCGCATGTGTGGTTGCGGCATTAAGAGGAAAAACTTTTTTATTATTGACATTTTGAGAAAAATGCATTCATTCTTCATAAAAATGTTTGCTTGTTCTAAAATAGTTAATCCCTTTTATAAAAAAAAATAAAAAAATATAGTTTAATTTTTGTCCTAAAAATCAAAACGCGTTTCTACGCTAATATAATTTCGTTTTCATTCTTTGATAGATTATTGTTGATAGAATTTTAATTAACTTATTTTTTGTTGTTTTAAAATGTTAAAGAAGCACAAAATTTACTTCAAAGTTCAATGCTACGGAAATAGTGGTAGTAGTTATCAGAAAATGTGATACTCATAGGTGATACTTTAACAACAGCAAAAAATATGACGTTAATCAAAATTAATAATAACCATCTATAAAAGAATGAAATCGAAATTATATTGCCATAGAAACGCCTTTTTATTTTTAGGACTTCTTAGAAAAAAATTCAAACATATTTTGTTGCTTTTTATAATTTTTCTAAAATGGTATGAATATTTGAAAAGTATAAAGGGGATTAACCATTTTAGAACAAGGAAAAATGTTTATGAAGATTTCATTTTTCTTAAAATGCCAATAATAAAAAAGTTTTTCCTCTTGTAAAGACAATTCGGGGACATACTGTAGTAAGTCATTGTCATTGAATACTGACCGAAATATTACAAAAATAACACAATTAAGCCATAAAATACACTACTTATATATTTTTTAATAGTTCTAACTATACACAACGCTTTATTTCCAATTTTTGGTTCACTTTCTCCATCTTCTTCTTCACTATACAGATCACTTTCTACTTCAGAATTTTCCAATATACTTTCGCTTTGACTAGTTCCAAATTGAAATAGAGGATTTGAGCGACGATCAAATTCCATTCGATATATTTGAGTGACGGTTTTATCGTCATATTCTGTTAGTGGTAATAGGGTAGAGTATTTTGACGTAGAAGGGAGAACGTGGAAAATGCTTCTGTTTGACTCGAGCTGTACAGGCCTAAAGTTCCTCTTGATTAGATCATCATTATCGTCCAACAGATATCTAAGCGAGTCAACCTAGAAACAGTAATAAAATTACTAGTTACAATTATTGTATCTATACAATCTATACTAATATATAAAATCCTTAAGTGACTGACATACTGATTAATCACGATCCTGCTCAAAACACTCAACGTAAGAAGCTCAATTTTGGCATACAGGTTGATTCTAGAGTGTAGAGGTTCGATAAGAAGAGATTTTTTGAAATTCCAGTTCCAAGAGGGTGAAACCACCCCTCATATATTACAATATTTTTTATTTAAAAAACGGTCAAGTTTCCGAAAAACGCTTAAACACGTATATTTTATTTTGTTTTTTTTACATATTTTAAGATTTTTTAAAAATGTATACAGGGTGTTTCGAAAAATCTGGTTATTGATTAATCACGATCCTGCTTAAAGCGCTTGACGTAAAAAGCTGATTTTTGGAAAACAGATTGACTTTAGGTTGTAGAGGTTCGATAAGAAGTGATTTTTCGAAACTTTACAACTTTAAAAATCGCGAATGTTTTAAAGACCTTGTATGCATGTGTATTTTACTATACTATTAAAATCTGTGCTACTCATGCCTGCATAGGTATTCTAGAAAATAAATTGAAGTGAAAATCTGAAACAGGAAACCTGATATTGATCTTTTTGAGAATATTGACTCACCATGTACATTTTATAGTACAGAATTTATATTTTATCAAACAAAAAGGATGGTCTAACCCGGAATCTTAGACTATAAATTATAGAAATAGTTTATAATTAAATAGTGTAGTGAGCTTACAAACCTGGTCGTTGGACACTCCCATAGGAACGCGTGTTATCATCCACGTTATATAATGTACACAATTTGTAGTTGAGACGGACCCTCGATACATAAAATAATCTGATGTAAATTGTTTCACCAAAGTCGTTAATTCAATTGGATTCACTTTCATTGAGGTATGGGCTTTTGCAATTCCGGTTAAGGCATCCGATATAATGGAAAAGCCTGCGTTAGGTTTATCTTGTAGCTAAAAATATTCCTATATATCAAATAGAGAATCAAATTGGAAAATTTATATTCCACCAAGAAAATATATAAAAATTCAAATATCAACTAAAATGTTGATTTAGACAGACAATATCCAAAACTAACCTGTTTCTAAATTGAAATGACAAACAATAGCCCCCCATACACCAACATATATGTTGACCGATTCGATATGGCACGTGCTAAATCTGCGAATAAAATCTTTCTGTATGTGTGGTGGACCAAGCCTATCGCGGGCCAAATCCGCAGGTTTGATCTGTCAGATTAGAGTGGTCTAAAAGCCCCCCATACATTAACATATAAGTTGGACCGATTTGATCCGTCCGAATTGTGTCGGCGAACTAGGCTCGGCACATACCAAAACTCTCGTCATTCTTGAGCTCGAATTTGGCTCCCCGACTTTATAGCCCGATTAGATTTGCCTGATTAAATCGTGTTGTTAATGGGACAAAATTCGACGTTTTATAACAGATTTGTCTGGCCCGCGATCTTTTGGAAGTCCTGAAAGAATAGCCCCCCATACACCAGCGGATAACTTAACCAATTTGATATGACACGAGCCAAATAGGCGGATAAAACTTCGTGTGTATGTGGCGAACCGAGTCGAATCGGGCCGTATACTATCGCCCACAGATAAAATCACAGGTTTAAACCCGTCTTCGAACTTAGTACTTAGCTGAGTTTTGAAGTTTGAATTTGGATCAAATAATTAAAAATAATGTCTGCCGACTCAAGTTACTTCTCCAAAGAATTTTTAACAGAATTCATAAACATTTACCAAAGATTCCATCCATGTTTGTAGCAAGTAAAATGCAAAGAGTACATGAACAAAAATCTAAAAAACAAAGCATATGAGAGGTTGTTTGAGTATTGTAGGAAAACAATACCCGAAGCTTCCCCGAATTAGCGATAAATACATGCGCCATGGCACAAGCTATAGCGCGTCTTCTACGATTGTTATTCATTTTTACAACTCACTGAGTACAAATATGCCGAGTAAATCTAAGACCACTGGTTAAATCTTTCAGGATTTCCAAAAGATCGCGAGCCAGATCAAATAAATAAGCAAATCTCTATGAATGGCATAGAGATTTGCTTATTCGAGATGTCGATACAAAATTTCATAATGGCAATGCAATTCCGAAATCAATGTTTTACTCAAGCAGAGCTGCAAGCTTAAGAAAACTTAAGTCTTTTTTTGATGTAAATCAGTTTAAGGACTTAAGTCATTTTTCGAAAGCTGACTTAAGACTAAAAATTTAAGTGTTTTTCAAAATGGCTTATGATTTAAATCTTTATTCCAAAATAGAAAAAGATTTAAGTCTTTTTATGAAAGACTTAAGCTATTAAAAATATTTAAGTCTTTTTAAAAAAGGCTTTTTCAAATTTTTATATATTTTTATGATAAATTCTTAACGGCAGCATTCCTTTTTCAACTGTTAGGCGGCAGCCAAGCAGCAGAATAAAAAAACAATGCTCAATACCACTAGCAAATACAACGTTAGTTTTTCGGAACTTTGATTAATTGTCGTGTTACGCGTGCGTAGTGAGTCTGTTGTCTTTCAAGTGAATCCCCGACTCCGTTATGTAGCCCGAAAGACGAACGAAAGGAATTTATCTCGAATTCTAGTTGAAGCCTGGCGCATCCGCCACATCTGGAAAAAAAATACTTCTTTTTATTTTTTTTAATTAAATGAAAAACAAAAAAACCGGCGACGACAGTTTTTAGAAGAGCCAATTAGCTATCTTTTAGTAAAAAAAGCAACTTTCTAGAGCAAGTCGTTACTTCAGTAGAGACGACACAGATAAACATTAGCATTTTATATATATATATATGTAGATATTGGACAGCACCTTAAAATCCTTCAGCCGCTTATGCCATCGATATATTACATAGTGATCAAAATACCATCACCCCTTTTTAATAGACCTGTATTCGATGGCATCTGACTGTAATGGTAATAAGTACTACAAAATTAGTTAAGTTTTACAAAAAAAAACTATTTTTGCCTTTGTAGTTGATCTGAAAATTAACCGTTTCATTTTATGTGGTTTTAGTCTCATCTGTACCAATAATAAATTAATAGTATTATGAGTAAGAAAATCGCCTAAGTGGTAATACAAAAAACTTAATATTAACGTTTAAAATACATAAATAGGTAATTTAAGGTACATAAATTGAATTCTGGTTATCTTGACTTGAGGGTAATGATATTGATTTAAGTAATTTTACTGACTTAACTTGCAGATCATCATGATTTAAGTAAAAAATATAGATTTAAGCATAAAAACGAATTAACTAACGTTATATTGATTTAAGTATTTACAAAAATGACTCGACTTGAAATAAAGTCTTTGACTTAAATCATTTGAACTTTATGTTGATTTTGACTCAAGACAAATTTTGATTTTAGAAATTACTTGAGACGTAAGTCTTTTTAAAACTGACTTGTTGCAGCTCTGTACTCATGTAATAAATATACTCGTAATAAAAATATACTCTGTTTTTTTTTCTCAGTTAAGATTTCGACAGACCAAAGAACTGACGATGACAGAAAAAAGCAGATGACTTCCATATCAATCCATTTATTTTATTAAAAAAAGTTTCTAATATTTTTTAAGTTAACTATGGATGGGTTTATAAATAAATACGTCATGCGTCGTCTCTTGTTGTTTTTAACCAGTTTTATTGGTTTATTTCAAAAACGACAAATCATATTTCAATATTATTGGTTTGACGCAACGATGAACGACAAACGGACCCCGATACGTATGAACCCGACTTAAGATTTTTGAGAGTTGTCAAACTCTTGCCAAATTATAGGTTATAATTTTGTGTCAAATGATGTCAAATAGAAATGATAAATATTTTGCATTTTGCATTTTGGACTGTGTTGTTACTTGTGTTTCGTGCTTTTTTTTTAAATTAAGTGAAGAAAAACTTGAGGGAAAATTAGACTTAGACCATAGTTTACACTTAATATTCGGTGCCGAGAGACCGCCAGAAACAAAGTTTGCCAGAGACTATGGCCAGAGAATTGTATTAGCCACAAATAAAGTTGTAGATATACCATCTCGTATGTGGTACCAAAAACTGGAGTATCTGTAAAATAACATCACACGATAGGGGTAAATAATGCATTTTAGTACTGCAGAAAAAAATAAGATTTAAGTTAATTAACCAAGATTAGATTTTTCAGTTTTATACAGGTTTTTTATTCACAATATTTTGAAGTAATCACTTGTCACTCAAAATTTAAATATATTACAGTACGTCTGCTGGATCTGTGTTTATGAAAGGAATGCGGTAAAAAAAACATTTAAATAAACAGTAATATATTTTATACGTCGACTTGACGAGTACGTCACCGCAAATCGCTCCGCCCACTCATTTTATTGGCTACTTGCAAATTTCTCGAATTTTTATTGATGGGACGCGTCGTCTAATTTTTTACGAAAAACATCGAAAGAATATCGTTTCCCCTCTCACGGATACCCCGTAGCTACAGAACGAACAGACGTACTGTAATTATACATTCCAATTGTAACAACTTATTTCTTTGTAAAATAAAATAAACTTCTTTGAAATTAAAATGACAGACACATCTATCACTGTCAAGGATTTTGTCGTTGGACAGACTATATAGGGTGTCCTAGAAATAAGTGCAAATATTTTAACTGGTAGTATAGTAGTCAACCAGAAACGCGCCTATGAGGTATTTCTCGCGAAAAAAAATTTTGAAAATTCGGAATTTTTTGAAAAAATGTTTGGAATTTTTTTTAGTTTTTATTTAAAAAACATAATTTCTTGATAAGATGACAACATAGGTAGTAGATTAAATTTACAAGAAAGAAAATCCAGAAAAGATCCAGTGATTCTCAAAATTTTAGCAAAAAATCATTTTTTTGGAAATTTTCAAAGTAAAATAACTCCGTTATTTTGGACTTATTTAAAAAACGATAAAGAGAAAATATGTTTCTTTTATCGAGATCTACCACCCCTTAAAATATTTGCACTTATTTCTGGGACACTATATTACCTTAAACATATACACTAAGATTGCTACGCCATCTGACTCTTTTAGTGCCGATTCTTGAGTTAAATAACAACTTTTGAATGTAACCACGTGCATTTCTCCCGGCTGGCGACATCCATCGACGGTGTGTTCGCTGCCCTCCATACTGTTCACTCCCCAATGCAGATGTAGTTGGGAAAAGACGTATTTACCGGTCAATGTGCCTCCGGTTATGTATGGTCTTTCTTGGCCCCATTTTCCACTGAGAATTACTACGAAATTTCATTTGAGTTTTAAGATAAAATTAGTGATGAGCAAATGAAAAGCCAAGACGAAGAACCCCATGATCTTGGTCTTGCTATAGTCTCGATTTTGCACTTTTTTTAATTCTTTTATTAAATGCAATTTCTAAATAGAAAATCTTTTTGTAAAGTTTATCAAGTAATTTCACGCAAATGAAGTTTAAATGTTATATAAAAAATGTATTTTAGAGAGTGGCCAATTGAGTCTGAGGAAGTTCAATATCGTCGTGATATTTGTCTGGTATTTAACTGTATAAAGAGCCTAATGTAATGGATGTAGTATACTCCGAATATCAGCAAAACCGTGGAAGTGGACCGATTATCTCTAGCGATTCGTGGGAACATTATAAGATCTAATATTAAAAACACCAGGTGAAGCTGTGGAAAAGCGCCCTAGCAACACTGAGAACATTACCAATGAAAGTTCCAAGAGACCAAATCCAAAGGAAACTATAAGAGAGGCGGCTGACACTTGCTTGAGTTCATCCTCCAAAAGTGGCACACAAGCTACCACCTTCACCAGCAAGGGTCGGGAGCCTACCTCTAGATCCAATAAGCGACACAAGCTACCGTTTCGAGGCGGGTTAGACGATCCTTTGAAAGTAGGTCTTAGCGGAACAGAAGCACGGAGATACCTCCGACTGCTTCAGAGGAAGCAAAAGCGAAAACACTCCTCCTGGTGGGAGAGTAAAGAAACCAAGAAACAGCCTGACTCATCTCCATCAAAGAGCAAGAGAGGGAGTGAGAACCTCCCACCTCTTCACTGGCAGGGAGAGAAAAAAACTAGGATGGAAAGCCGTCCAATACCGGGAGACAAGCAGAGACGTATCACGACCAGCTTTGCCGCTATTGCTGGAGAAGTCCAAATGGCAGTACTGCCAAAAGATTTCCCAGAGGTTGCTCTGACCACCGACCAGCAAACGTCTCCAAAAGAGGCTATACTGGACGAAGTAGTGGCGATCGGATCGCAACAAAAAGATCTAAAAAATATGGGTCAGCTGCGTTTTGCGGAAATACACTTTCGGGTGGGCATGATCCTCATAGATTGTATATCGTAAAAATCGGCGAATTGGTTGGTGTAAATCGCATCTAAGCTTAAAAATTGGCAAGGGCCGGAACTGGTTACAGTGAAGGGAGAAAACATCTCTAAAAGGGCGGCCATTACGGTCTTTTTGCCGAGGAGCGGGAGGAAAGACACCACCTACCTGCTGAGCCTTATCCAGGGTCAAAACTTTACTTAACGTAAGAACATCGAGTTGGCGAGTCATCAACTCGAGGGAGAAGGGTCATGGTCAGGTCCTCACAATAGGAATTCACCTCAAATCCAAGGAGGCTTAAAGAGGTGGAGAAAATTGAGACACATCCTCCAGCCTACACCTCACAGGTACCTCAGCCGGAGGCAAGCGCCTCGACTGTGAAGGGCACGGAGGGCCAAACTCCAACCGTGGAAGAGTGTGTAGCCTCGGAGGAAGAACATGTGTTGTCAGAAGAGGATGGGAAATACCCTGTCTCCTCTACCATAAGGGTATGATGGGTTATACACTGTGCGATGAGGTACTCAAGGAAGGGGGGCGCAAAAGATCTTTAAGATCGCAGTAACTAACCCCCCTCTCACTCATTCTACATTCTACACTTACTGAGCAAATATGTAGAGTATTCTTGTCCAAAGTCAATCGAAAGCACTGAGACTCTTAAGGCCTTTGTCCAGACAACGCCGGCAGAGGCGCCGAAGAAGATAGTGCCGAAATTAAGAGACCCAATCTATTGCAATTGACTTCAGAAAAACTATACACAACAAAGTTTTTGTTCCAAAATGTGATCATATTAGTGTGCTGCTAGGAACATAACGTAAGTAATAAAAAAAAGCATGACTGACTTACCAGTATGTCCTGAATTTGTAATCTTCATTTTTTTCGGTGGTATCTCAAAATTGACCCATGTTAACATTGGTACATCCTCTACAGGTTTTGTTCCGATAATGTCGATATCTGCAGGAGATTCAAAAATCGCTGTACCATAAAATATATCTTTAGCTCTTTGACTATCGGATACATCGATGTCACTTTCCTCGTCTCTTTCGATATTTTCTAATGTATTAACTACAAATTTTGTCAATTAGAAAAAATAGGCAAATAAGGATATAGTTTGTTTAATTTTCTATATGCATTGCGTTTCAATATTAACGCATAATGTTAGAAATTGATGCAGATGAACTTATTTTAATGATTTTTAATGATTTTTGTGCAGTTAAATAATTCTGTCCTCCAGTATATTATAATATTTTTTCAGTAAAACCCTTGATTATTAATATATAAACAAGGGTAAAACTAAAAACTGATATTTCACTCTGACTCGGTGGCGGACTAAGCCTGTCCGGGGCCCGGGGGCGGCGAAACTAAATGGGGCCCCCGGTCTGTTCAGATAATGATATACTTCTAATGCACATTTGTGTAAAAATTGAAGGACCGTATGTATAATGGTTGACAAAATTGAAGTATTTATACAGGGTTTCCATTTGAAAAACAAATATTTATGATAATTTTTTAATCGCTCAATTCCATCACAGCTACCGCCATTATTATATGACATTTGAACAATTGAATTTTTGAAATAGATAGCCACATCAGGGGGGTGACAGTGAAATAGGAAAATTGGAAACAGTCATTAGTGTCATTCCTGTCATTCTCCTCACGACAAGTATGGCCGCCTAGACAAGGACAGCATTGTTTTTGTCTAACTATTGTCTAACTTCACAGTTTAGAATTGACAGATTTCAGTTTTAGAGACAACTTCAGATTTGTTCTAGAACAAATTAGAAAATATTCGACGCCATTTTAATTCATTCCGTTTAGTTTCGTTTTGAAAGTTCAATTTAATATTTCGGCTGAAATTTATAAATATAAAGGTAATAAAGTATATGAAATATATATTACATGAAGAATCCTGGGGAAAATGACGTTTCTGCAGTAGTAGGTATGTCCCATGCATATGAAAAATAGGTAGTAAATAAACACTGTTTTTACATTTTTTAGATGCAAGAAAATGGTGTTCTAATCTCTTTGATCGGCGATTTTTTTGAAAATGGAAACAATTTACAGCAAGGTAAGATCATTTTTAACTATAGCCAACATTAGTTATCTCCAGTATGTGCGATTTATTATCAATAATGCAATAAATCGGACTGATAATCTGATTATGTTATCCGACTAAAAAGTCTCTTTTTGCTTCTTTTTGATTTATAAGCCAGGTCTCTTTGGGAATAATGGACGCTTTTTTTAAACAGTATATTTATATTTTATAACTCTTGATATTTTTACATTGTTAATTTTAGTATAAAAAAAATTGTTTTTCTGTTTTCAGGTTTTTGTATAAGGCTCCCGTTTTCATGTTCTTGTGTCCGTTTTCTGTCCTTGAAGTCTGCGAATACGTGTGTTTATTTACAAATTACTGTAAGTCATGCTTATACCTTAACTAATTTATGTTAAAAGTGCATATAATTAACTAATTGGTATTGAAACAATACTATCCTCTATATATTTATATTTATTTAGTCACGTTGTTCCATATTTCAAATAAATATATGTGAATAAATTATTTTTTGGTTTTATTTATGAAAAGAAAAAATACGAAACACATTTGAACTGAAAGAGGGCCCGCCATTGAATAACCGGAAACGGAAATGAAAGTTTAGCCATCATGTCCTTATCATGTCAACCTGTCAATTGAAAAATTAGTTCTCCAGACGACAACGAAGGCTTTCGGTGGCGTATCGTGTTTCCACGATTTAACACAGAGTTGACACTTCTTTCTAGTTAATTATTTTATGAGCCACATGTCGTTTCTTTATGTCACAGGGGCTGTGATAATCACTAAATTTGACTTTTAGGCTGTACAAATTTTTTTGACAGGTAGTTTTTTTCGTCCAAAAATTTTAAATATTTTTTTCTTAAAAATGGTTAATGTTAGAGTGTTTAACATCAATATTCATAGAATTTTACAGAGAACTTAAGTATGTAATAAAAAATAGGGGGGCATCCATTTAAAATAAGAAAGTTGCTGACAAATTCCGGTATTTCTGGAAGTGCCGCCATGTTGAAAATATTTTTAATCGATAGATCTTGTAGTAAAACAATGATGTGCAAAAAACATTCGATCTAGATATTGTGGTTCTCTAAAAACTTCTAATGCACGCTCAGTCTGGGACACTCTGTATACTGTAATAATTATAATAAAAATCGATATCTAAATATGTTACTCATCAGCAGTGTCGTCTTTACGTAGGGACCTGATGGGCCCTGGCCCCAGGAGTATTAAGGGCCCCAGCTCTAAAAAGGCTGCAGAAAAACGATAACATCAATTTTTTGAAGCTTATAATAATATTTTTAAATCGAAAAACGAATGCAATTTGATGTAATAAAACAAGTAAGTGCAAAAGTAAAGTGTTTTGGTGTATTGTGGTGTTAGAGTATTGTGTATTAGAGTGTTTTATTTTGCTGTTGTTCTGTGTTTGCCAAAGGTTCCAATCCCAACTGTAATAAATTAGAGGTATTAAAGTATTGAACATAATTTTGCTAACGAGCCATATACTACCCATTCACGGGCCATGCAGTATTAGATCGGGAAATCCCCGAGCGGAATGTTCGCATTTAATGGCAACTTATGATGACAAAGTGATGAAAATAGCGGTTCCACATAATATGAGCCGCGTTACTTTCGCTTCCGTTCCAGAGAAACACCGCGACAAAATATCGCGATTTTATAAGTCCTCCAAGATCGGAGGGGCCCCTTCGTTGTCTCAGGCCCGTGGCTCACGTTATACTAAAGACTTCACTGCTCATCATCGGTAAAGAAGCTAGAATACAAGTTATGCCGTGCATTGGTTGTAATTTAAAGTGTTTATTCATTATTCAGTAAAAATAAACATTGAAAAATAACTTAAAAGCTAAAATAAATAAATTCAGTCTCAAAATTTATAAAAAATAATAATTATTCGATATTTTAAACAAAGAAAATTATCTCTTTATTTAATTCCCTAAACAAAAAATGCCATTGACAATTACTGGGGCCTGATAATTGATAATTAAGTAAATATTTGCTTCCATTTATACTGTTTATAGTTGGCGTATACGTATGGTTTGCATACTCCACCTACAAACTGCTTCAAAACTACTATTGGCCTTGTTCGCCAGTTGAATAAAAAATTACTTATTAAGATTCGGAGGGGCGGACCGTCCCTTCCGCCCCCCCCCCTAGTCCGCCACTGCTCTGACTGTTAATAAATATATTTGAAGATTAAATTTGTTTTAATGTCGAATATCACATAAGAATTAGAATTTTAAGAACTTATCACAACACTATAGAAAACTATTAATAAATATTATTTTTCTATAATATCTACTATTTAATTATTCATTCTTTTTAGTATAATATTAACTTTCAGTAAATTATTTTTCCATTTATCCATAATCCAGTAGTTAATTTCAGCAATATATTTAAATGCCACACAAAACATACCTGTTGTTAATGCTTCTTCTGATGGTGTATCATCTACATCCATATTAAAAGATCAACTTCGAATTTAACTGATTTGTATTACATTTTTCCAATCATTTTTGATATATATCAAAGTCAAAAAATGTCAAATGAAATAACACTTAAATCCGATAAGATAAAATCCTCAAACGATAGAGGTGATTGTGTTTGTTCGTGTGCTCTAAATCTTTCGGCCAAACCGAAAGAAGAACCATGCTGCAAAGAATTGAAAAACTGGGAGGTGTGGATGCAACGCCGTAAACGGGTCCATGCGCGATTGAAAAAATTGGGCAGGCAATCGGGAAATATGCTTATGAATGTCGGCGACGAATTCAGGAACGTACGCGAAGAAAAACTACTACTAGACGCGACGAAAATCGAAACGCAGTTTGATAAATACAGGGGTAATCCTACGTTTTGGACAATGCCAGTATGTCTAAAGGACAAGAATCCTCCTTATGGGTGTACGGAATTATTCGCTGTGAAGTCGAAAGAAGAACGAAACGAAGTGGGTGAGATTGAGAAAGTCGGAGTTCCAAAAATGATCTTACAAGAAAAAGGCATTTTACCCAGAACGAGGTAAGCTAAATTACAACTAATAACCGTTTTAAGCGAATAATGAATATAAACACTTTTCGGATATAATACTTTTAACAAAAAAAGACAAAAGTTTTAATAAACAAGAAATAAAACGGCAATTCCGAGTGCTGCCATTCTATTTCTATGCTATAAATGCTTCAAACAAAAATAATGCATCCTATGCAGAATTTTATACTGAATCCAATTACCTACAGAAAAATGGGGAATGCAATTTAAAAAAATTAAAACTTTATCATTACTTTTTAGGTGCCCGGTGGCGTAGAGGTACAGGCTCTCGTCTACCAATTTCAAGGTAGAGGGTTCGAATCTCACACCCGGCATTGCATCAGCCGACTATTTTTATTAAAATAAAAATAGTTTGGGTACATAGGTCGACTCGGCCTTAAATGAGTACTTGGGATTCACAATCCTGATGTAATAATAGGCGGTTGAAGCGTAGTGCTAGCCACATTACCTTCCTTGTATACCGAACGGCTCTAAAATGGCAAGCTGTACCTTGATACTCCCAAGGCGTCAAACGCTATATACGGGAGCTATTATTATAACAATTTGCTTCGTTTTAATAAGTTCCTGAAAAAGTTTCAAATAATTTTTCCATTAAAATAAAATGGGGACATTATTCTATTATTATTATCATTTCTTTTTTATGATACCCTGTTTACAACAATAGTGGTTTGTGTAATTAGTGCAAAAAGGACATATTTGTTGCACGACATATGAGTTTTGCAGTAGGGATGTTCGGTCGATGCCCAACTTCAGTACCGGTGTCCGGTATCACGAAGTACCGGTCCTACAACTGGTATACCGGTTCCATCAATTAGATCGGTGGGATCGATACTGAACCGGTAAACCGGCTGGACCGGAAGACCGGATGAACCGGAATATCGGAAAGACCGAAATAACAGGTTTGGTTGTTGTACCAGTGAGTATGATACCGTATTAAATAATGTAAACAGAAAGTTTTCGTAATAACGGTAACGTAATAAATATAGTATTTTGAGGGATAAATTATATTTCTCGGAATATATCGTAAATCTATCCGTTACCGTTAAAACGTTCTTGAATTAACTTAAAATTCTCATTGTTTATGTTCACATTTCCGGCATATTCTTGATTTCTTGTCCAACATTCTCTTTACTTCTGAAAAATGGAAAAAGTACTGGAGCTGCTGTTCTTGGAAATATAAATGGAGCGGAAACAAGCTGCTATTTTACATGTCTACATATATATAAAATGCTAATGTTTATCTGTGACGTCTCTGCTGAAGTAACGACTTGCTCTAGAAAGTTGCTTTTTTTACTAAAAGATAGCTAATTGGCTCTTTTAAAAACTGTCGTCGCGGGATTTTTTGTTTTTCATTTAATTAAAAAAAAATAAAAAGTATTTTTTTTTCTGATGTCGTGGCGGATGCGCCAGGCTTCAACTAGTTTTAAATAATAAAGTAGACATTATTTGACTATTGACGCGGCTTGAGTTTTATGGACATTTTAATTTATATAATATATATAGGTATATGTGAGTGATCCATGAGTAAGATGCTTTACTTGAATTTTAGATGTACTAAAAAAGAAGACTAGATTACTAAACCAAACTAGACTACAATGCCGTACATTAAAACGTACATGAAAAAAATTACATTGCATGGTCCTGACCGTATTATACCGAATGATCGAAAAAAAACCGGCGTCCAGTTGGCTTGGAAATGAACATCGGTTATATTCTCCATATAAAATGACAGCGATTGTCATCGCTGGCGCAGTTTTCGGTCATACGGTACCTAGAGTAGGAGAACACAATCAGCTTTGCACAAAAGCCAGTACCGAAATCGTTTTATACAGGTTTTTTGATTTTCAGATTATCTTGAATCTATTTTTCTGTACCGATTGAAACGGATCTTCCGGTATCGATTTAGACCGGTCCACGGTGTTTAATTTGGCCAAGCTAGGTGGACAAAATTCATATTCAAATATTTAATAAATAATAATTGCAACACGTAAACAAATGATTCAGGATATCGGGTTCAAAACCTGTTTAAGTCTGATAATAAATCGCGATGAGTGGTGAGGTTGAAAAGCCGGGTGAAGTGATACCTGCAACTGATAAATTAAATAGTGGTCTTTTATTGTTAATTTTGATAAGGTGGCCGTACAATACCCAGTGATATTTTGAAATTTTTAAAAATGGACATCATTTTTGAGTGTAAGTATTATAATTTCGCCTAATAATATACATCCCAGGTATTTTAAATATTACAAAAGAAATTATTGAAATATAGTTAATTTTACTGCTTCTTTCCTACCAATTCAATCACATTAAAAGTCCAGGAAAAACCTGTACCCGTGTGTACCCAGGCTAAATTTTATATATATATCTTAGCTAAAATAGTTACCAATAAAACTATGTATTTTACAACTTGCACACTCGTGCACAACTATTTTTTTTTAATTTTTTCCAGAACAATTTTTTTGAAGAATGAATAAAAAACTCAAAAGATGAGCGAAACTCTCATTTATTTGAGTTTCCGAAAACTAAGTTTAATTTAAGTCTCCGATGAGTTCTTAAGAGATATTAAGCGTAAGATAGCCAATTATTCCGCTAAAGTATCAGATAGATGGACGGCTGCAGGAAGGTCAAAAGAAAGCTTCCTGACAAAAAATAGATGCTGGTTGGATTCCTATATTCTTACTAATATAATTGAAATCTTTTTATTTTTGAGTATCTGTGATAATACTCGTATGTTAAGTTTAAACTATGCATAGCATAGATATAAATTATTTATATTTATTATTTTTCGTGTTTCTTTGTGATTATTCTTCTAAACATAAATAATTTCATTTCCTTTTGCTGTAAGTCATTAAAAAATAATTATTATTTATAATATCCATTTATTATTGTTGTAGATTTCTGTTATATACCTGATATGTCTGAGTTTTATAAATTTAATTTTTGGCTTCAATTGTGCTTAATTAATAATAACATAATAAATACCTTAAATGTTTCGTCTCTTTTATTACTTTGTTTACCAATAGTTTTAACTCAAACTTGATGTAACTTATATTATTCAGGCCTTTTATTTCAGAACCAACCACCCAGAATGACTTTTAAAATACCTTAAATTCAATTTAACAAAAAAACACGTCAATTTATATTTACGAAGGGACATATTTTGCTCATCAGCAATGCAATTTGCAATTCATCATCACTAAGTACGAAGTGTAAATACATAAAATGTAAATTATAATTCTTTTAATTTTAAAGTTTAAAGTTGTATAACTTTGTAAAAAACGATCCGATTTTAATAAATAAGGTGTCAAAAGATTAAAAATGAAGAGACCTTTAAAAAGAGCTATCACACGATACCCCTTCTTACCCCTTAAAACTTACCCCTTAAAAGTTATATCCACCCCCGCTTAGGGGTTGAAACTGCAGGGTGGCAGATACCTGTAAATGTATCCCCCAGTAAATCTAAATTGACGTGTTTTTTAGTTTTGCTAATACTACCACAAAATACCGTAAAACAGTTTTGTCCACCTAGCTTGTTGAAACGAAACACTGTGCGGTCTTCCGGTACTAGTACCGAAAGCGGTATACCGGTCTTGTAAAAGACGGTACCGATACCGGAATATTTCAAAAGTACCGGTCCTGGTACCGGTATACCGGAAGACCGAACATGTCTATTTTGCAGTCATGCTGAGTGCAACAAATATGCTTTTTGCACATATTGTACAAAACAGTTTTTCTACCATCGAATTGAAATTCTTATTTAAATGTATATTAAAAAGTTTTTACAGTAATTCACAGAATAATATTACCCCTAACAATGACACTATAGTATTTAATATTGTTTATGACTTTTTTTAATGTCGCAGTTTGAACGATTCACTTATTGATGATTGATGGACAAACTTCATTTCCAGTAGTCTTTTGAATTTTATTTTTATTTCCGCTCGTGGAAGTCTCGGGTTCTTCTTATTCACTTAAAAATCTTTTCCGGAATGTTGCTACGAGGTGTCCACTACTAGTACTAGACTGCAAAAAATAATACTTTTGTGACGTTTGAGAGAAAATAAAAAAAAATACTGTTACCGAGTCCCGAAAGTACCGAAAGAACCGGGAATTAATAATTTCGAGTATAGTCATCGAGTATAGTAATAATTTCTGGTACTTTCGGTACCGGAATTTCCCGGTTCTGAACGGCGCTAAAAGCAATGTAAATACAGAAAAAAATCTGGAAGCTCTCAACTTTTTTTAAATTTTAAACTTCAATAACTCGGTTATTTTGGACATATTTGAAAAACGGTAAAGAGAAAATATGCTACTTTTATCGAGATCTACCAGCCCTGAAAATATTTGCACTTATTTAAGACACTGTATATTCAAATTTTTGTATAGCATCTTTATAATGAAACTTTCTATATCTTTTATTTTTTAGTAAACTTTGTATATCTTTCATTTTTTTATCATAAACGGTGTTGATTTATGTTGATTGGTTTTTATAGGAATCTTATGGATTTATGGACGAATAAAAATAAGTACAGAGAAAAAGTAGTCGCTCAAGTGAGATCAAAAATATTCAAAATTGAGCCTCATAAACCTGAATATGAATTCTTAGCAATTCAAGGAACTCGAATTTTACCACCAGATACCGATGAATCTAAACCTGAAACTCCAAAGAGTCCAAGAATCGAAATAATCAAACCGGTAGAACCAATAAGAGAACCTAAAAATGAAACCTTGAAAGAATCTACGGAAGAGTCTTTCACAGTATGTCTTAAAATCAACAACTTTGAATGTTACAAGAAAATGGTAATACCTTCCCATGGACACAAGATTAGTTTGATTTTTGAACACTTTATTAGTAATCCAGTGCCCACAGAACGAACTATAAAATTTGAAAACGTCGGTCAAATAACCATGCGAATTTATTTCAAGATTCTTCCCAAACCGAGAATATTTCGTGAATATATCAGTTCACAAAATATTTTTGAACCTTTTAAGTTTCCTAAAACTGAGATTTTATTGTTACCCAATGAGACACTGGAATTTCCTATATGGTTTCATTCAAGAAAACCAGGAAACTATTACGAATACTGGGAAATTTATACCCTACCAAGGTTGTGGAGTGATGATGAAAAAGTATTTATTAAATTATCTGGTTATGCTTCGATTGAAGGTTATAATGAAAAGGTTGAAAAAATAGCTACCGAGCTCAACAAGAGAGTTAGAGATACCGTCATAAAAGACTGCCTTAATCAAACAATATCCAGAGTGAATTACTGTACGGAAACCGTTTCAAAAACTTTCGATTTCTCGGAGAAGGAATTGTTCGAATCACAGAATCTCGAAGACAGTCGACAAATTGGTTCTCGTTCGAAATACTGTTACAAGAAAAACATCGTGGATAAGTTGACTGAGTTTTACGCGGAAGTTAGGCAACCTGAAGATCCGGAAAAGTGGAATCTGTCAATTAAAACTCTTAAAGAAGCTGCTAGAAAGATGGATTTGATGAAATATTTTAAGGAGAACCTCGCCGCATCTTTGAAAGCAAAAGAAAACCGAAAATTGAATGAAGCCGACACTGTCAAAACCGAAAAAAGTAAGCCTGAGAAGGTCCAAAGCCCAAGAACTAAACTTCTAAAAGGTAAAAGTGTAAATATATTTTCTTCCTATACAGGGTCTGGCAATAGTGCGTCGGGCATCTGTATATATAGCTCCTAGAATAAAAAAATTGGGAATTTTAGTTAAGTGCAAACCTAAAGTATGTACTAGGATGTATTTCAGGAAAATATTACCTGATGTAACTTCTACAGGGTCGCTCAAAAAAGCGTGAGTGGATCGGGATGATTTTTTTTTAAATAGAACAACCCTGTATATTATTGTATTTTTCGCTTCCGTTCCACTTCACATAATCCTGAGATATGACTAAATACAGGGTGTTTCAGAAAACATGTGCCATCTTTTGTGGGCAGATTCCTCACGTAAAATAAGATTTATTTTTCATATCAACATAGGACCAATTCTGCTTTGTTTCGTAGCTACAGTGTGTTAAAGTCTTAATATTTTTTCGATTTATTATAAATTTCTTCCATTTATATATAAATACAATATTATTAGAGTTATATATAATGCGACATATTTTAACGCTAAAAAAGTGTCAACATATTCACCAGGGACGTGAATATGGGTTTTCTCTGGAATATTTTTCTAAAAAAAATCATGTACGACACTGACTTTTTTTTCTCTTGTTAGCGAAATAATGTAAGCCGTTTAATGCCGATTAAAAGTTGTCTCTTGATATTTTGTCCATTTCGGCTTCCTTGATGAGATAAACGCAATTTTATTAATTTGCCTTGATCCAAGTCTAATAGTAACCTTTAAAAAAATTTCATATCATCATAATTTTAAAAGTTTTAAATAAGTACTCTTTGATTCCTCATCAAAAAATATGAAAAAAGTTCCTATAAACATGGGTATGGAAATGCATAGTTTTGGAGTTACAGGATGTTAACATTTTTTAAAATAATTTTTTTTTGTAATTATCTTAAATACCATTATTTTTTTATTTGAAATTGCTGTATGTTGGACTAGTAGTAATAATAACTAACAGTAATAATATTTAATAATAAATTACGTAAAATATATGATTTATTAATTTTATTTTTATTTAAATTTTATTAATTGTGATTAATAAAATTGCGTTTATCTCATCAAGGAGGCCGAACTGGGCAAAATATCAAGAGATAATTTAATTGACATTAAACGGCCTACACAATTTGATATCAAAAGAAAAAAGTCAGTGGCGCAAATGTTTTTTTGTGAAAAATACTCCAGTTATAACCCATATGCACGTCCCTGATGAATTTTTGGACACTTTTTCAGCATTAAAATATGCAGCACTTATAGTATTTTTTACCCTCAAAATTTCATTCGAATCACTAAAAGTACTTGGATTATTAAGAAGAAAGGAAAATAAATAATAATATAAAGGATAATAAAAAGAAAGGAAAGATTTTAACACCCTATAGCTATACTGAATAAAGCGGAATCGGACTTCCCTTCCGTTCCATATCCTTTCCTTCCATAATTTTTTTTGACGGACGGACTGAAGCGTACCGGAAACATTTAGGCAAAACGTACCGCGTATTAGGTACCCTGTTAGCACCCTGTTAGGAAACGCCTTGGATCAGCCATTCGTGTGCAGCCACTGCAATAGCCAGAAGAAATCCTGGAGTCAAAATAGGCAGCAAACGAATGTCAACTGGTCGTCCAGCCAGAGTAAGTGGATTACTTACTCTGGTCCAGCTTCTAATGAGGTCATTAAAAGAAAAAAAAAGGAAACACAGTTTGTCTGATAACATAAATAAAAATGTACCTCATGCTAAAGGGCATGAATCTGTGCATTAAGGTGCATATTTTTCACGTATTTATTTGTTTTTTTTTCCATTTACATAAGTTGTTATCATTCCCAATAAACTAAATATTTGTTGATTAGGTCATGTGTTTTTCTAATAAACATAAAGTCATTCTTCATAGCTTCCCAAGTCCAGCAACCCAGGACCAAAATGGATGATTTATATGAGGACAATACGTACCCGCTTTTAAACGTCTCCAGACAAAACGTACCACGTTTGGTCGCGGACCAATCAGCGCGGGAGATTTTTACCATAGGATTAATACGTGGTACGTTTTGCCTAAATGTGTACCGGAAACAGCGTTGTCAAGTTCTTACATTTGTACCAGCTCTGTTAACGTTTTGTTGATATTTAATTTATTACCTTTTTAAAAGATACAAATTTTTAAAATAAAACTTTCCTAATGATATAAATTGTACAATAAAAAGTATGGAACTGATACGGAACGGATATTAAATGGAAACGGAAGGTACAGGGTGGGTCAAATTGGACGTTTTTAAAGGGAAACGCCATTTTCTACAGGAGATAGACGAAAACTAATATCGGTGTCTGGAGCTCAATTTTTATCAAAAACATGATGGTGAAAACCGCACATTGATATATGTTACCATTTCGGAGTTACGGGGTGTTTTTCAAAAATGTGTCTTTTTAACAAATCGCTGTAACTTTTTTGCTACGGAAAATTTTGTATTTTAAAAGATTTTCAAAGCAAAGCTTTTTACGTAGAATTTAATGGTTTAAGTATAATTTCTTTAAAAATAATAACTTAAGGGTTATCAAAAGAAAAATTGATTTTTTATTTGGGACACCCTGTATATTTTTAATTAAATGAAAAGAACTTAAAATTACCTTTCCAAAAATGTAGCACACTTGACATTTTGTTATAATCCCCTTCGAAATACAGAATTTTTAAAAGTTGCCCACTTGTAACTAGCTAGTAGGCTTTGGATCCCTTATTGATGATTTGCCCCTAATGGAACTCGAAAATATATTTTTTTCCAGCAAGACAAGACACCGCCTCAGAACGCTGAGTTATCAAAAAATGTTTTTAGCCAATTTCGAGAATAATTAAATAGCTAACCAAGATCCCACCCGTTCGCCGTCGAGGCCGCCGGATCTTGTGTCTATGGATCTGATCCTATGGATAGCTTTGCGGAAGAATAAAAGTTCTTATTTTTAAATCGCCCGTATAATCTAGACAAGTATTAGAAGTACTTAGCGGTTATGCGAGGGTATCCTCGCCGAGGTACCTTACGCGAGGGCGCTTTCACCCCCACTGAGTTAATGAATTCCGCAAGCAATGATCAATAACACCCGTCTGTCCGTAACAGAAGACGGTTGACATGTCGACATGTTGACATGTCGAACACCTATTTTTATTGTTATTAGATATAGTTTAAATGTGTTGATGTTGGTTATATATAGTTTAAATTTTTATAAAATTCTGCATCTCTCATTGCAAATATTATTTTCGTTTTAATTGCTGCTCACCGCTAGATTTTTTTGCATTACAGCCGGCGCGGCGCCGTTCCAAGCCTAATTATTCAAAGTGGACGAATTTTAATAAACTTTGTATCTCGAAGAGGAATGGAACAAAATATCAAATGTGCTATATTTTTGAAAAGGTAATTTTAAATTTTTTTCAATGAGTTAAAAATATACAGGGTGTCCTATTTAAAAAATCGAATTATCTGTTGATAATTCTTAAATTATTAATTTTAAGAAAATTTATACTTAAACCATTAAACTCTATGTAAAAAGATGCTTTGGAAATGTTTTCATAAAAATACAAAATTTTCCATAGCAAAAAAGTTACAGCGATTTGTTAAAAATGCACATTTTTGAAAAACAGCCCGTTACTCCGAAACGCTAACAGATATCGATATGCGGTTTTCACCATCATGTTTTCGATAAAAATTGAGCTCCAGACACCAATATTAGTTTTCGTCTATCTTCTATAGAAAAGGGTGCTTCCCTTTAAAAGCGTCCAATTAATTTGGCCCACCCTGTACAGTGATAATCAACCTTAATCCATAATGAATAATTCTTAAAATCCATTTGGTTCTGTATCCTTAATTTTACTTTTGAAGGTTTTGTTTAACGTTTACACATTCTCAAAAATCTGTTTAGTTTGAAATCTACGTCATTTCTACTCTATTGTATCACCAGATCGTTAGCGTAAGGTAGTGAGTGAAAAAGAGATAAAAAAATGTTAATTTTTTATTAAAAATGTTTAACAAAATGTACGATTAATATATTTTATTTTTCAGACAGCAAGTCCGTAGAATCTCTAGATACCCTTGAAAATAAAGCGTCTTATTACAACAGACTACAAACGCTGGTAGATTCGTTAGAACGACAGTCCACCACGCCACACAAAGATAGAAGGAAATATTTCTACACGTATGTAGTACTCCGGACATGTATTCTTAAAACACTGATTGCCTTTGACGAGATCGAAAAACATGATAAAAAAGTCGAAACCGAACTGGTAGAAAAAAAGGAAATTCAAATTCCAGTAAACGACAATGTTCAAGACAGGATGAAATTCGAAAATTTCGATGATTCGTATATTTTAAGGACGAAACGTGTTTGCCACGATCCAACTATGCTATGCAACGCGAAACCCAAATCAGTTTTGTTGCGAGAAGTTGATTTGACAGACGTTAAGAAGATGTACGCCATATATTTCAACAGAGAGGTCGTGAAAGAGAAAACTAATAAAAAGATGGAAGCTCACAAAGCGGAAGAGAAATCGTCGACAAAAAAGACGACGAGTAAAAACGAAAATAAGAAAAAGGACATCGTTGATAAAGTAAGTATGTTAACTTAAGGGGGGAGAGAGTTAATATTATCGCTATTATGCTAGAATCGACGGAATCGACCTACTGGTTTTTAAAGTGCAGATCGTCCTGTATATCATTGTAAGAATGCGCCAAATCGAAAATTTTTAAAAAATATATAATAGATAAATATAATACATAAATACATAAAAGCACCAGAGCTGCAACAAGTCAGTTTTAAAAAGACTTAAGTTTTAAGTCATGTCTAAAATCAAAATGATTTAAGTCTTAAGTCAATTTCAATATAAAGTTCAAATGACTTTGTTGAATTTGACAATGAAGTTTTAAGTCTTTGACTTAAGTCATTTTTTTTCAAGTTAAGTCGTTTTTGTAAAGACTTTAATCAATAACGTTATGTAAGTCTTTTTTTTACTTAAATCATGATAATCTGCAAGTTAAATCAGTAAAATGATTTAAATCAATATAATTTCACTCCCTCCAAGTCAAGACAACCAAAGTTCAATTTAAATACCTATTTTTTAAATGTTAATATTAATTTTCTTGTATTATAGACGGAGAGCTGGCTACATAAAAAACCTTTTCATCGTTACATGGCTAATTCTTCTTGTGAGATATCTTTTTGTGTAGCTATTATGAAATAGTCATGTCTGCCAGCGCGATCCCGGGGCTTAAAGTGGGGGCAGCCAATCGAAAGGGTGAACTTTTGACACTAAAAATATTATAAGGTACATGAGTTATAATTGCTGAAATAGCTGTTATTTATTATTAAGAAACGTGGAAAATGGGCTCTTTCACAAAAAATAAAATACCCAATTCAAGGACAAAATCTGAAATAGAAGACTATTTTCAGTATATTTATCCAAAAGAAATAGTTCCATGACATTGAATAATTTTTTTATAGGCCCTCAAAATTGCTTTAATTTGAAATACTTTTAAAGTGCCAATTGATGACGTATGAAAAATACGCCCAATCACATTGCAGAACCGTTCTCGTGCACCAGCCAACAACTGGCCACATTGCGATTTGATTTGACCAGCACCACCTCAATTCAAGGGCAATCAACATGATATGGCCAAGGCAAATATGGCGGCGAAGGCAGCGCATTATTAAATTGTTTACCTTTAACCTGAAAAGCCGGTAGTGGTTTCTCGTTCCGATTGCATACCAGAAATAATTAATTATCTCTAGTTTGTTGTGCTTCTGCAACACGTTTGTTTAATTCTTAGTGTTCAGTGCATGGTGTGATCAGAAAATTGTGATAAAATAACAGTGTAATAAAAATCCAAACCAGACATTCCACATAGAGAACTTCAAACTTTTGTGTTTGTTGTGTTTGTCGTACTCCTCTATTATTAATTATTTTAAGGTAAGAACTAGAAGTATTTATCAAGATATTATACCTAAATGAGTAAAAAGCCTTCGCCGCCAGTCTGCATAGTACTTTATAATGGTTACTTACAATAATCAAAAGATAGGTATTAAAGGGTTAACATTTTATTGTAGCATGCCTTTTACATGCTCTGTTCCAAATTGTCACGGGAATTATAGAGTGGGTCCCAAGGTTTCTGCTTTTATATTCTTCAAAAATGACGAGCTTCATAAAAATTGGTTGACAGATATTAAAAGAGATAATTTCACTCCTACTAGTAGTTCTCGGGTAAGAAGTGCATTAAATATGCCTCAAAAAGGCCAAAGGCCAAAGCCTCTGTTACCCTAGTGAGGATTTAGTTATGGCTACTGCTTACACTTACCTCACTATGAGTAAAATATTGGAAGAAGAATCAAGCATCATTTTACATCAAAAAGATCACAGAAAGATATTGACAACATTGACATTTGAAAATATAAATGGCCTGGATGTAAGTCTTTTTTTAGGTCACAATTGCCCCTCACATACGTCAGAATTTATTATTAAATCGATCTTGTTCAGAATATCCAATATTTTATTGAAGAACTATGCAAAAAAAGGAATGACGTCTTTACCACAAAAACAATGCCCTATGTAAAGAGAAAGAGTAAAGAAAACTAAGCTAAGCGTAAGTTTTACTTATGAACCCCCAAAAAGATATTTAGTTTTTTTTTCTATATAAAATCTTGAAACACATATTATATTTTTTATTTTTTCTCACCTATTATAGTTTAAATTTATTCCCATTTGTGTAATGCTGCAAAACATAGAAAAAATATTCCATATTTTTTGACCCAAGCCAGTGTAGTTTATAATTCCAAGAGCATTTACCAAGGCTTTTACTAAGACAAGTAATTTCCTATACTGTCCATAATAGTATATATTTATCAAACGTTCAGTAAATTCTAAACTATGGTAGGTAAGTGTTTGCAATTGAATATTTAGTTTATATTGCTATTTTCTGTCATATATTTCTGGTTATTTCTTTTTCCGATGATTTTGAACACCTTATATATGCTACCTCAAGTTTGAATATTTTAACACTGCCTATTTTCTGAGAAAGCAGAGCTTTTTATAAAAAGTAACTAACTGATGTTTTCATAAAAGTAATAATACAAAAAACCCCATACTTATGTGGAGAACTTTAGACTCCCTGTATATTAAAAAAATAGTGAAATATTATGTAATCTAACCCGACATTTGTGTGAAAAATGTCTATTTGGAAATAAAACAGGTTTTAAAATACGCGCCAAATAAAGCACTTCTATCTCCGCCATATTGGAAAAGGTTGAATGGCCTTGTGTGGAGGTGGTGGTGGGTCAGCATGGTGGCCCGGCCGCGTTCGTGTAGCCGCTTTTCAACATGCCAGGTGTGACGAATTAAAAATAAAGTGCGGATTTTTATTCTGGGCTTTTTTGTTTTTATTTATTTTCTTAAGAACGACTTCAAATTTTTCGAAAATGAGATAGCAGAAAATTCTAGAATTAATTGCTTTAATCAATTATGCTAATTCCAAAATATAGTGAAAGAGCCCATTGTTGGCAGACATTTTTCTCGTCGATAAGATGCCGCCAGACAACGCGAAAGAGGGATGAAATTTTGAAAAAAAAATTATGGCATACATATGCCGATTGGTAGTATGTCATATTTACTTACTTAAAAAGCTCTATGCAAAAGGGCAGACAAAAAAATCGTGGCTCAATCAGCGGTAGACAGTTATCAAAAGCGCGATATTACTATACAGGGTGCGTCTTGAATACGTGCAAATAATTTCAGGGCTAGTAAATCTCGATAAAAGAAACATATTTTCTCTTTACCGTTTTTCAAATGAGTCCAAAATAACCGAGTTATTCAAGTTGAAAATTTACAAAGAAATTGATTTATTTTTAAATAATTTCGTTAGTCACCTCTGTTCTTTTCTGTATCTGCATCCATTCTTTTAGTGTCGTAACCATAGAATAAAGCCGTAAGCATGGTAGATCAAGAAATTATAACGTGGGTAAATTTGGGGTGAACAGGCAGTTCTAAAAGTTCTCTATAGTATACAGGAAAATTTTAAAAAATGCACGATTTTCAACACCTTTTTTGCGAAAAAAACTCATAAACCTGTTCCTGGGGTCGAAATATATCACCCCCAAAAAGTATTTGCACTTATTTAAGACTCACCCTGTATAAGCGTTCTCAGGAAACGCTCGCCGCGTTATCAATTGAAACGTAATAGATGTAAATCTACAAAAATTTTACGGTGCAGATATCGACTCAGAGGAACACTAGTTTGCCAGAGCGAGGATCTGCAGTACCATGAGTTAAATACAAATAAATAAATAGTGAGACGTGAGACAGAATAATAAATGTATGATATCTGTTATTGAAATAATAAAAAATATATTTATAATAAAATCGTATAATATGATTTATTTATACTTAAATGGATGAGGCGGCGAACGTTCCCTGAAAGCGCTAGAGTAATATCGCGCTTCTGATAACTGTCTGCCGCTGATTTAGCCACGATTTTTTGTCAGCCCTTTTGCATACGGCTTTTAAAATAAATAAATATGACATTCCACCAATCGGCATGCATATGTATGCCATAATTTTTTTTTCAAAATTTCATCCCTCTTTCGCGTTGTCTGCCGGCATTTTATCGACGAGAAAAATGTCTGCCAACAATTTTCCACGTTTCTTAATAATAAATATTTATTCTTAATAATTAATATTAATTAATAATTCTTAATAATAAATATTCTATTCTATTTTCGCAATTATAACTCGTGTACCTTATAATAATTTTAGTGTCAAAATTTCACCCTTTCAATTGGCCGCCCCCGCATTAAGCCTCGGGATCGCGCTGGCAGACATGACTATTTCATAATGGCTACACAAAAGGATACTTCGCAAGAAAAATTAGCCATGAACGATGATAAGGTTTTTTATGTAGCCAGCTCTTAGGCTATTACCCATTCACCGATTTTTTTATTATCTATATTAATTTATTGTAGATACAGATTAGAATAAAATATTATATAAACAACTATAATAAATATTAAAAAAATAAACGGCATCAAGGACATAAAACACATATCCAGGGTGTTTCAAAAAAACATGTGCCATCTCTCGTGAGGAGGTTCCTCACCTAAAAATAAATTTTTTTTTTTCGTATCAACATGTGTCCGATTCTGCTTTGTTTCCTTACTACAGGGTGTTAAAGTCTTTATATTTTTGAGATTTATTATACTTTTCTTCCAAGTGCTTTTAGCGATTTGAATGAAATTTTGAGGGTACAAGTTACTATAAATGCGACATATTTTAAGGCTAAAAAAGTGTCGCCATATTCACCAGGGACATATGGGTTATTACTAGAATATTTTTCTAAAAAAAAAGCATGTATGCCACTGACTTTTTTTCTCTTGTTAGCGAAATAGTGTAAGCAGTTTAATGCCAAATAAAAGTTCTCCCTTGATATTTTGTCGGTTTCGGCCTCTTTGATGAGATAAACGCAATTTTATTAATTTTCCTTAATCGAAGTCTAAATAATAGCAACCTTAACAAATTTTAATATCATTAACTTGCGAAAGTTTTAAATAAGTACTCGTTGATTCCTC